TTATTTTATTAACAAAAGATTTACTTACACCTCTTTTAATTGCAATTTCTCTTTGACTCATCCCAGTCTTTAAATCATTTTCAATTAATACTTTAACATAATCATCGATTTTTTAGTCATAAGGTGTTGCAAAATTTTGTTAAAAAGAAAAAATTGGAGGGAAAAATATTTTGTCCACATTTTTTTGGTCAATTTTTCAAAAATATTTTTTCTAAAGTTTATTTAAAAACATAATTTTTATAATTATTTTTTTATTTGATTCTAAAACCATCTTCTTTGTATTTGTTTCTATTAAAAAATTTCATGATATTTCTTTATTGATGATATTTTTCATTTTTTTACTTGTCCACGTTTTTTTGAGCAACACTGTATATAATTTGTTAATGTAAATTCATTTAGTTCTTCTTCAAATCCCTGGCTTCTTACCCTTTCTTAATTTCATTGTATTTGTTGTAATTCTTTTGAGATATTGATAATCTCTTGAGTAATGTTGCTATCATTTCTGTTGTATCTGTATTCATATTGCTCTGTTCATCAGCGCATGGCGTACCATTATTACCATAAGATTGTCTGTGATCTCTGTTGAATCATCAGTGCTCATCTGTTGAGCTTCTAAGTCTTTAATATTCTAAACTTTAAAATCTTTCTTGTTATTAATCATTTTATTGATTTTGACGGGTAAAACTTTTAATTAAAAGTTTTACCATTATTAATTTTAAACCGAAGCATTCCTTTAGGTAACAATATTTATTCAAAGTCAGTTAAAATGTTATTTATTAAAAATAACTTAAAAATTCTTTTTAAATACAAAAGTATAAAAAATTATTATTTATTCAAATTTCTTTAACAATTTTGGCTCTAACAACAATTCTTCAACAGTAAAACCAATTGATCCTAATGGTTTATAATTTTCACTATAAGGCTTATCCCATTTATTATTAATTTCTGTCAAAACTGAAATATGTATAGGTATGTTATTCTCTTTCACTTCTAATTTGTATTTAGGTCGAAATTTCTTTTGGGATGATCTATTTTTGCAATCCATCACTCTATCTTGTATTTGTTTCTGTTTTAGCCCTTCAGCACTAAAACACATCGATCTAGATTCAATAGACAGAGGTGGATTAGTAGAAAAACTTACTCTTTTCCTTTTAACTACAGTTATTTTGTATTTTTTTAGAACTTCACTTGCTTCAGACTGTCCGGGAAAATTATCTATTGCAAACTGGCAAAAAGACTTAATCTGTTCTCGATCAAGATCTTTTTCTCCATGGAAACTAAGATATTTTAAAAAATTAATAACCTCTTCTCTTTGTTTCATTCTATCAGAATTTGCTTTAATACTTTCGATATGTTCAATATATTCTTGTTTCATAAAAATGGGATCAAATTACGAAAAAATTTTTATTATAAATTTTTCATTAAAAGTTCAATAAAATATCTCGGAAGGTATTTTTTTTAACACAAATATTAAATGAGAATTCAGTTGGAGATAAAAATGTAAACATAACAATCAAAATACTTATTGAACATATTAAACTGCTTATTATAGACATTTTGTTGGTTTTAGAATCACTTTCATCTTTAATAAGATTCAAAATACTTATAACATTAACTATCAACAGTACAACACTAATTAAACAGAAGTAATTTTCAAAACTATATAAAATGAAACTAAATACAACTATAACACATAAATAGAC